GAGTTTGATCCCTGGTACAAAAAATAATAAGTAAGTAAGTAAATAAATAAATGCATGTATTATATCAAAAGCAAGAAAGTACAGATGACAAAGTAAATTTTTTAATATTTGTAAAGCTTTCTGCAAGTATCTACATGGGATGTATTTCTTTATGGTACTTTTATCTAGTTATTCAGATATATACATACATACAGATATACACACACGAACACAAATATATAGCACTATACTATATGCTAAGTGCTAGGGATACTAAGATAACAAAGCATGTCTTTTGGAAGGGTAAAGTTCTAGTCAGGGAGACCACAGAGAAGCTAAAAATCAGTAACTATCCTAACAGTTTTAATGTGTTCCAATAGCTAATCAAGAAGCATAATCTCTATTTTGAAAATAAGATTGCTGATCTAGACTTCAATGAAATTCAAACATGGTCCATGTGAAGTTGGGACTTAAAAATCTTGAAAATATCTAGATTTGATGAATTGTTTATAATGAAGAGAGCAGTGACCTATGAAATGCTATAGAGTGAGAAGATGACAGTCCATTGATTACTCAATTTGACAAACATTAATTGAGCACTTTTCCTGTGCCAGGCATGATAACAGGAGCTAGAGAAATAGAAGTGAATAAAGTACACTTTCAGTGGCCACAGCTAATTGGTGTTCAGTAGGGAAAGCTAACAGAAAACAGATAATAAATCATAGTACAATTAGCAGAGTTAAAGGGGATATTGCCAGGTACAAAGGTACCACAGAAAGGAGTCTCCTTGGAGAAGGAGATCTTTCATAGAATGCAAGAGGTTGGAGCAGAAATAGGTGTTTCACAGCAGGCAAAAAGGAGAAAGAGATCATGGGCTAGGAGGACAAAGCCTCCAAGGGCTCACATTAGCATGATATGCTGGAGGTAGCTGGACTGGATCACGGGGTGTCAGCAGTAGGCAACAGAAATGAGGCGAGGGTCGCAGACCCAGCCATATAAAGGAAGAATCTTTTACGGTACGTAAAAGATTTTACACTTTATTCCATCAACAATGAGGAAACAGATACTGCACAAGGTTTTAGCCAGGAAGTGACTTTTAGGTTAACTCTGGTGATAGCATGGACATTAATTGAAAGGAAAAAGAATTTAGAGTCCTCAAAAACCACTAGGGATGTGAACTTTGATATCATTCTTGACCGCTAGCATATTATGCGACCTTGGACACTCTGATATGAGAAAAACCAGCATGTAATATTTTCATCTGGCAAAGCTTATAATGAAGACAATTGACAAGCTATGTATGTGTAAGCAGGGGACTCACAGTTAGGAAACCGGGTCTTTGTCCATCATATGAATTTTACAGTATGATATGCTTGATTTACCCTTGGCTTTATCAGTGATTTTAGAGACTGTAACATATGAACAGCCAGCATGAACACTGGGAAGTATGTTAATCCCACAGAGTCTAGATTTGGGGCATAAAGTCCTATATCTGGGTTTCCCTTTTGAGGAAGTTGTTCCTCTACTCCATATGAGTGATATAACCATTTTTCCAAAACCTAATTATTTCCTTACATCTGGTCCTATCTCTTCATCTTTACTCTAAATGTTGCTCCTTCAAAGCCAATAGTTCTTTTAATAATACAGTTAAGAATCCCGATCCAAAAATCCCAAATTAGAAATGCTCCAAAATCTGAAATTTTTGAGCACTGAAAGGATACCACAAGTGGAAAATGCCATACCTATCCATACTTGAGAGATCACAGTCAAAACATAGGCCTACTAAGAATATTGTGTAAAAGTACCCTCAGCAGCTGGGGATATAGTTCAGAGGAAGAGAGCATGCCTAGGATGTATGAAACCCTGAATCAATCCCCAGCACTGGAAAAAAAATTACTTTCAGGCTATGTGTATAAGGTATATATGAAATATAAATGAATTTTGTGTTTAGACTTGGATCCTATTTGCCAAAACACCGTGTCATGGATGTGCAAATATCTCCAAATCCAAACATTTCAGGTCCCAAGCATTTCAGATAAGTAATATTTAACCTGGAATACTTCCATAGCATTTCTTATATATCAGACACTATTCTAAACCCTCAACATGTTTTAAATCATTAAATTCTCTTATGAATCCTATGAGATGAGTGCCATTACTATCCTCACTTTTCAGAGGAGGAAACAAGTTTCCCAAGATCCTAAATAGGAGTATAGTCATTAACCCAACCCAAGGACCTCAATTGTGTCCTGGAGTCCATATTTTAATCACCATAACGCCCACAAATCTGTTTATAAGAGTACTCAACAGAAACAAAGGACCATGATATTAAATGTTGCCTTACTTCTCTAGATGTTTCTTTTTCATAAACTGCAAAATACAGTACTGTAAATTTTAGTCACTCATCAGTCAGCTTTCCTTTACTATAAGAAATACCTGAAATAATCAACTTACAAAGAGAGAAATTTCATTTTGGCTCAGTTTTAGAAGTCCCATTTTGGGCCTGTGGGGAGGCAGCATTTCCTGCATGGAGTTTGTGGTGCAGCAAAACTGCTCCAGGGTGGAATGGAGAGAAGGAAGACTGGGCCAGGGGCCCAATATCCCCATTAAGGCAAGAACGCAATGACCTCAAGCCCTTCCACTAGGTTACTTCACTGATCCACAAGTCCCAGTAAATCCACTCTGTTCCTCCGGGGAACATTTAAGACCCAAATGCCCAGTTATGTGTTTATATCCATGGTTTGCACTGGTCCAACAATCTTTAGAAACATGTTTAGAAGTGCAGTTCAGACTAAAAGATTATGATTGCCTCTCTGTTAGTTTTGTTTGTTTGTTTTACAGTTTAACCAAAACTCTGTCTCAAAATTGAGATCTTTTTGAAGAGTTCCTCAAAGACATGAGACTTAATAAGAATTTGCCACTCACTAAATTTCTTCCTTTGAATACTCAGGATTGAAATGAAACTTTTTCTGCAAGGTCAGCAATAAAGCAAATCTAATATAAGCGCTTTATTGACTTTTAAAAAGTTGGTTACATTAATCTTTTTCCTTTTTAATCTTGTCTTTAGGTCAGAAGCCACTGATCCTTTCATGAGTGGGAATTCTCATTTTCCCTGAAGTTTTTAAAGAGTATAAAATAGAAGCAGAAAGTTTTTTTTAAAAATCAATCTACCATATAAGGATGTAGGATTTTCTTACTGGTTGAAGGACCCCTGACCTTGTTCAATTTCAGATGTGTCACTTTGGGGAGTCTAAGTTTTATTTTCAAAAATGTTTAGCTATTTAGAAAAAAATGAGCTGACCCTTAGTTCTTTATGGTTTTGAAATATCCTATGAGCAAATCATAGAACTCTACAGACCTCTGAATCTGGGTTAAATATATACTAAAGTACATTTCACTTTTTCCTCAAGAGTTAAAAAAAAAATTAACAGAAATACACAAGGCTCCAAACTTTCAGAATTCTGTGAAAATTATTGCCAATGCTTAAAAGTGAGACATGAAGGTGAATGAAGAAAAATCTCAGAGGTTTCTCTTTTAATGCAAATGCTAATAGACTTGTTTATTCTTTGCCACAGACCTTTTAAGCCAGCCCTCTAAAAGGCTGTGGGATCTTTTCAAGGCCATGGGAAGGCCAAAAAAGTGCTTGTCCTACTTTACCATGCACTGAACACTGAATATATGTGGAAAACAGAGAATTGATACAAAAATCTTTTACCTCAGCAATCACACACCTCATTAGATTTTTGTTTGTTTGTTTTATTATTTTTTTATTTTTGGTACCGGGGATCAAACTCTGGACCTTGTGCTTGTGAGGCAGGCGCTGGGAGCACTGAGCTAAATCCCTGGCACTTGTTTTGTTTTTTGAGACAGGGTCTCTCCGTGTAATTCAGGCTGGCCTTGAACTCACTGTGTAGCCCAGGCTGGCCTCAAGCTCCCAGTGATCCTCCTGGCTGAGTGCTGGGATTATAGGCCTGAGCCACCACGACCAGCTCACCTCCTTAGATTATCATGTTTAAAAAAAAAAAAAATTCCAAAGCAAAAAGACGTGCCTGGACAAACAGGAATCATACTCATCTTTATATTCTGATCTCTGCCCTCACCCAGGCCATGGTAAAAGGCGTGGCCAACAGATTTATCCTACAAAACACACTGTGGGTTTGCATCCTAGCACAGCTATCTAGGAGCTGTGTAATCTTGAAAAATTACCTAATGCATTGGTGGGGTATCTAGAAAACGGTAATTAGCCACCCTTGAAGACCGAGGAGAAGTGAGTGGGAAAAACACGTGGAAATAGCTAACCCTCACAGAGAGCTCCTCGTTCTCTCTTCCTGTCTTGTCTGGGGACCGCCTCGTATCCCGCCATCTGCAGGAGCTCTATTACACAAGGAAGGTACTTAAACCAAGTGTTCACCTCCCCTTTGGGGGTAGTGATGATCCACCACCTTCCTGCTTCGGGTGCTTCGGTCCTTTTCAGCTTGCCTAGCAGCCAAAGCTAAGGCCGGTAGGAGTAACTTGCGGCTCCGTTTGCGGAGTTGTAGGCTTGAGGCAAACGGCTGCCTCGCCGGCCTCGTCCCTCTGAGCACTCCCGCGTCTCCTTCCAGTCGGAGCAGCCGGCGGAAAAGGGGAGCATAGGTCTCCTTTGTCCCCGTATCCGCCACTCACGGGGAGGACAGAGCGATCTAAAGGGGAAAGATACCCGAGCTTCACCTGCATTCCAGGCTCCGGGAAGGGCCCTTCGCTGGGAAGGAGTAGGGCGCCGGGCGAGGCTGCAGGGCACCCGAGCGGTCGGACGGGGGAGCGAGAGCAAAGCTTACGGAGCGCGCCGACCCGCCGGTGCGGAGAGCCGACGCCGAGCCGAGCCGAGCCGGGCCGAGACCAGTCGGGCGCTAGGCTGGAGTCGGCCGGGGGCTCCTGGGGGCGTGGCCGGAGCGGCGGGGGCGTGGCAGGGGCGGGAGCGGAGGCGGTGTCTCTCCGAGCTGCGCAGGCGTTGCTCGCACCTTGTTGATTAGTCAGTGCTGGGAGCGCTGCTATGGCGTTTCTCGTACCCGCGGCTCCTCCTCATACGCTCGAGGCGGAGGGAAGGAGGGGTGAGAGGAGGAGGCAAACGGGCGGCCGCCGCAGCTGCAGACCCGGGGCCCGCGGAGCAGGAGGAGCGCGAGCCGACTCCCGCAGTCGCGGGGCCGCTCCGAGTCCTCTCCGGGCTTGAGGGCACGCGGGGCGCCCCGGCCATGCCCCGCAGCTGCCGCTGAGCCAGGCTTCGGCCCCCTCTCCGGTCTGCTCCAGCCGCCGCGCCCCCCGGCGCCTCCCGCGCGCCTATTCCGCGAGTGCGAGCAGCGGCGGCAGCCGAGGCGCTCTAGTGCCATTGGCAGCGGCGGGGGAGATGGACCCGGTGCCCTTGCTGGGCTGCAGCCTCAAGGATGTGAAGTGGAGCTCGGTGGCCGTGCCGCTCGACCTGCTGGTCAGCACCTACCGGCTGCCCCAGATAGCGCGGCTGGACAGCGGTGAGTCCCGGCGCGGGCGCCCGACCCGGAGGGTGGGACCAGTAGGGAGTGGGCTGCCGCCCCCGGGCGACGGAGCTGGCCGCGCGGCTGTCGCAGCCCTGGCGCGTTGCTCTCAACTCCCCCAAGCAGCAGCCTGAGAAGTAGAAATCAGAGCCCTTGACGAGTGATTTAAAAGGACGCCTTAAAAAAAAAAAAAAAAACCACCTAGGGGAAACCTGCAGATAATCTTGGGCTCGAGCAGTCCCTCCGCAGCCGCCTGCCAGAATTACTCAACCTGGGAAACCCTGAGTAGCTATCTTGTGCAACTTTCTTAAGAAAATCTTTGTGTTCTCTGGGTGGCATCTTACTTTGGGTGCCTTCCTTATCCTCCCGCACCCTCCGTCAAGAAGCAGCAGTTTGAAGAGAAAAAGCTCCTGGGTGACCAAAGAAAGCGATCACATTTCTCAGAGAACTTTTATTACAGCTTGTCTGTTTTGTTTAACCCAACTGAAAGTAATTTAGGGCTGTGAATAGAAAATGTTTTTAGCAGAAGTGATGGTATGCTTAAGGTTAATTATTAGCTCAGCGCATTTCCAGCCTGGAAAAAAATTTTAAATCATTAAAACCCAGATTGATTTAGAACCTGTGCTTGGAACTGTGGAATGAGTATTTTGTGAAATTGACTACCAGAAGTCAACCAAACATCCCCTATCTGTGGGCTCTGCAGTGTAACATCTGCAAATATGTAGATGTGCTGCTGTCAGACAAGTAGACACCTTTCAGTTTGAGAGTTGTGACATAGAAGGTGGCAGTTGAGGTTTTTGTTTTCACAATAACGTCAGTGGGTTTTGGCTTCTTGGGATTTCAGACTTTGCAGAAAGAAGCCTGCCCAGCTGTGGGGCAGCCCAGCCTGGGGCGGGCAGATAGAGCTGTGGCCACTCACAGGCCAAGCCAAAATAGCCCTGAGCAGAAAGGTGTCATTTCGAGTCACAGGCACCTGTGTGGCTCCTTGGTTTGGGGGAGAGTAAAAGAGTACATTACAAGAGATACATACATGTCAAAGAATTTTTTACTCCGTTTCTTTTCTTTAGGATCAGATTAGACATCTGAAGCACTGATGTGGAAATAAGTGCAGGAAAGTTCATAAGAGCCGGAGAACAATTTCGGCAGGTTTGCTAGTCTGGTCTGGTTGTTGGTACTAGAGGCGGGCATTGGGAACGAACTAGGAGTTTTTAAACTGGTAATGAAGTGCAGATGACGGTGGCCACTGAATACAAGGCAGGAAGGCATTTCTGCTCAGAGTGGAGATGGGCAGTGTTTTGTGCTTTAAATGTGCACCTGCGGGCCCAATTCTCTGTGCATGTTTGTGTGTGTGTGTGTGTGTGTGTGTGTGTGTGTGTGTTTGGCGTTTCATTTCCTCCCCGTGCAAAACTGCATACATTGGCAGGTTTGAGTCCTCACCTTTTCCATCCCTCTCGCATCTCTGCACAAGCTGCCAAAACTTCTTACCCAGTCAAGAGAGCATTTATGCTGCATGTAGTGCTAAAGTCACTCAAAATCTTCATTAAATTTAAAGTTTAAAGAGGCTGAATATCAGTTTCAGGCACAACTCTTCTTTTTATTACCCACTTTCTTATCCTTGCCATTCATAAAAAGGATCTGAATCAGCAGTGTACTCATCCCACACATCTTTTTAAAATCAGGACGTGGGTTGTGAGGTTTAACACTGTGTCCTTTCAAACTTTGGAATGAATTTTGATCACTGTATGTAATTCTAATTCTTTATGGTAAAATTCTCTTATTTTCTTTTCACCACTTAATCACCAAATTCCTAATCATAGCCAAATACTACTTTGTACCTTGTTTCTTCACTTAGCAATCTCATTTGAATACTTTTTGTTAGCGTGAGTTTTAGTAGCTACATGTTTTTTGGGCTGGCTGTACTGTACAATCTAGTACCTATTGTGAACATCAAATTGCTTAATTTTTTACTATTATAAGTTATGATATGATGAACAATGTACATAATAAATCTACTTGTTTGGGTTAGAGTATATTCCTACTTTGCTAAATGTGGATCTTTTTAAACCCTTGGTATATGTCATCACTGATTTAGGGACTGTAAGTTATGCTCATTTATACTAATGTGGGCATTGTGGGAATACCATCTTGTCCACATCCTGAAAATATTGTGAAACTTTTTTCTTTTTAAAAATCTTTGCTAATTTGTTGGGGGAACATATTAGCTTAGCAATTTAATTTGGGTAGAGCCAATCATAAGCCAGATGTGGTGGTGCACACCTGTAATCTCAGCTACTTGGGAGAGTGAGGTGGAAGGATGCAAAGTTCAAGGCCAGCCTGGGGCAACTTGGTTCTCAGAATAAAGGGGTTGGGGGTGTAGCTTGGTGGTAGAGTGCTATTTTTGGGGTACCAGGGATCAAACTCGGGACCTTGCACTTTCGAGGCAGGTGCCCGAACCACTGAGCTAAATCCCTGGCCCAATTCTCTGCTTATTTTAAAGCAGTGTCATATTTTTAAATGCTATCAGCAGAATCTCAGGTGTTGAGCAGTCTTCATTGTGTATATCTTTTTGCCTGTTTTAGTGCTGCAGATATACTTTATGCACAAGCATGCACATGCACACCATATACTTAGATATGAAAGGCAGTCATTTTCTGAATCATTTGTTTTAAGAGACTAGAAAGAAGTTGAAAAATGTGCTAGTAGTTGACATTATGCCATGAAGAAACTATTGGCCAATTGTAAGCTATCATGAAAAGACATTAAAAAAAATCTTAATTTTATACTTTGATTATTGAATGCCTTGTGTGTGTGGATGTATTTCTAGATGTTTGATGGATATTGTCTCATATCATTTGCAGCCTCACTATAATGACTTTGGGAACCTGAGGTTCAGAAAAATTGAGTGAATATCTCATAGCTGGTAAATGATGGAGTAGGATTTTCACCCGACTTTGTGCCTCCAAAGATCTCTTTGGAGATCTTGTCCTAGAGGAGAGTAGATTTGGAGTAGGTCTGATGTCTGCTCTAAATAGCCTCACTGTCTCTCTCAGGGCTTGAACACCGGAAAGTCAATATTTTTGAAACAGTGTAGACACCGAATTAAGTGCTGGCGTCATCCATCATATTTAGATGACTTTCTGCTTCCCAGAAGAGTGGCTGAAAAGAGGCAGGAGGGAAGAGAGGTTACAGTGTGAGAGAAAGAGGGGAAAAACATTTTCTTAAGATATGCAGATGTGTCTGTTGAGATAATTCCTTCCTTTATTTGCCTGTGTTAAAAATATTAACCACACATTGTATGAAGCCTCTCCAGCTCTTGGTATTAGGCACATCACTCCTGAAATGTCAGTTAGGTAGATGCATTCAATTTACATCCCCACTGGTGAAATTTATCTTTTTCTGATAAGATAAATACAAAATTAGTGAGCCTTTGTAGGTATTGTCCTAGGAGGCTTTCTGGACAACCTGAAGAAAAGTACTCTAGTGATTCTTGGGAGGTTTGATAGGGTGCTTCTTATCACCCAGTCAGCAATACAATTAAGAATAGATATTTATTTTAATTAAATGTATTTTTATTTTTAACTCATATATAAAAGCATAAAATTATACATATCACCAAGTAATGTGATGTTTCAGTTCTTGTATTTATTGTATAATGTTTAAGTCAAATTATACTTATTTCATCAAACATGATTTCTTTATGGTGCTATTTAAACTGATCACCAGTCTTGTAAATTGTTGACTCTAAGTCCAAGTTTGGCAAATGTGTTTAGGACTAAGAGGGCAGAGGTAATACTGACCCCATTCTACCTGTAAATATCCTTACTCAAAACTGGGTTGGTGAGAAATTGCTTACTTCCGCTCACTATTTCATTGTGGAAAGACTTTGAAGGTGTAGAGCAGTGTTCTTCTAACTCTTTCCTTCTGTTGCTCCTAAAGGATTCTGTAAAACTCTGTGCCCTTAAGCATATTTTTAAACTAATTGCTAAAGCTTTTTATCCAAATTTTAAATTAGTTGAAAAGGGTGTAATTTTGAGCATATTGTAAATATTGACTATTTATTTATTTATTTATTTATTTTCTGGTACCGGGGATCGAACTCCGGTCCTTGTGCTTGCGAGGCAGGCGGCCAAACCACTGAGCTAAATCCCGGGCCCTTGACATTTTAAATTACATTGTTACAGCATTCAAAAGACTAGTTAAATTTTCATGTGGTTCTGTTTATTTTTAAAATGAAAAAAGTTTAATACTTTAAAATTTTGTATCTTTATCTTCTTAAACTGTTTCCACTTGCCTTCCCCTGTATAAAATACTATCTCCATTCTGTAGTTTTTATGCTTAAAAGTGTTTTATGAATCACTCTGTCATATTTTCTGTAACAAGAAGTATCTAAGTTGAAATCCACTATTTTATATTTCTTTTGCCCAGCCCATAAGACTTTTCATATTTAGAGTTCTGCTTTTTTTTTTTAATATAGAATTGGAAATTACCTGGCTTGCAAAAGGAATTGTTACTCAAATACTGAAGACTTTTATTCTCCAATGTGCATCTACATTTTCATTTGTTCCTTAGTTTGTGCCCCTGGGGTCTTTGCACTGACGGCTTGAGAAGATCTGGGGAAGGATTAGTTTTGTAAAGTGTAAAGGAGTATATCGAGGGGGAATTGGTTAAGAACAGCCTCTTTCCTTGTGTGTCACAGTCATTGTCATCACAGTCACCCACCTAGGCAGATCAGTTTTTAAACAAAAGCACATTTGAAAGTTAGGATGTCGAAATGGATTCTTCTACAGCCATGAAGGTGAACCTCTCAGAAAGTATTAGCTTTGCTTCAGACATATTCCCCAGTTTGATTGCTGGTGAGTGCACCAAAAGATGAGTTAGTAGGTCTTGTTTGCTAAAAGGAAGGAAGTCCAAGGCTGCACAGACTGACAGGGAGAGAGGAAAAGAAAGGTGGTGGTAGAAACTGGAGGTAGCTAAGTAAGGTAGAACAGTAACATTCT